AGAAAAATAACGTCAGATAGTGACCTTATGAATATGTATACTCGGAAAAAGATTTTCAATCTCCTGTTGATGAATGCCAAATAACTGAATGGGCATTGTATCCGTTCTCAAACGCTGTGTATGACAGATGCAAATTTATATATGCTGGTTAGCATTGTATAATAAATTTATGACCCACTTCTAAGATAGAAAATGAACTGCAATGAAAATAGCCCAAATATCGTCTATCAGTTACCTTCAAGAACACGAGTGACTGTTATATTGATCACTTCCAGCCTGACGAAACCAATCAACTTGGTAAATGTCAAAACTTATGTATAAACGTTCGAGAGTAACTCATGAAACTTAAACACTCTACGGACAACACATTAAATATTTCATTTCTGATTATGAAAATTGCACAGGAGTTTGGGTTACAGGTTATTGTTCTAAAGGCATTTAACTTGGGCTTATTCAGACCAGCCTATATCCGTCCCGTACCTCAGACCATTCCCCCCTAAACAAAAAATGGGAATATAATTAGGCTACTTGCATTTAAATAATCAGCCTAGTTAGTATATATCTTTTTATATATTTAGTTAGTTACTATTTTCAACTGGAGCAGTGTCCAGCTTCAAAATAATTTTTAGCAGAAAGTGATTAGTTTCCTTCTGAACTCATGGCTATATATATAGCTCAGATAAATTAGTATTAAATAATGCGACTACCTCACCTTGAGGTTACCTTATGGCGCTTCCGGGGCTTAGCATAGTTGCTATTAAATAATAAAGCTAGTTACTATTAAGCGTTCAGAATAGTATTCAATAATAAAGATGGCTTATATATCAACAGCTGCAAATGTGGTTCTTGATAAGAGGTACTTCCATGTGTTATAAAAGCATTTTCTCTTATTCTAGTAAAGGTCACTTCCTTTACTCATTCATTAAGGCTCATTACTTATTCAATTAAAAACCTTCCCCTTATCATTTATTCATTCTCCGCTTGGCCCACACATCCTCATGTCCACATTTCCACTTCAACACACGAGTTTTACGGCCTTGAGTACTACCCTCTACTCATTTCCTTTTTCGTAGCAGGATTGGGTAATGAAATTGAGGGGAATACAGATAGCACATACGGCACGCATAGACACGATAAAGCTCATCAATTATTGGGACCGTTATAGAGCTCTCAAAAAGAATTTTCTGGAATGGAGATGGGAGGGGAATCACATATGTATATTAAAGATATTGAAACGCCAGGTCTTATTACGGGCTCACCATAACCCGTGCTACATGGAAATTTTGTTCCACTAGCTGAATCTAGAACAGCATTAAACACCAGGTTTTAATATTTACACAGTAAAACAATAACATACTGGGGCGAGAGATATGGTAGGAAATGCAGAATAAAAGCATGGCGAATATAGGTAACATAATGACAATAAAGGAACACTGCATCAACTTCAGAGATCATCGGCCATTCGTTTCACTACCAACATAGAAAATATTACCGTAACAAAAGCAGACTTGTTTAATAAACAATTTGGCAGTTTCCTTCAAGAAGTGCCGGAATAACTGGGTTGTATTAGATATGTGAGCCTGCGAGCCGCTCCAAGCCAGTCTGTTGGACCAACAGACTGGCTTAGAGCAAGTCAAGCCTCTAGATTTTCTGGAGGCGAAATTCTTCTCCAATCGCAGCCTAGCCTGGGACTAGCCTTCATGGTGACTGCCAGGCCTGTGAGGCTGTCTCACAACAGCCTCATAGCACCACATTATTCAGTGTACATAAGGTTGTTAATATAAGGAAAACGATAAGAGACAAGCTGAGAAATGTACCTGTAAGTCAATCTCTCAGACACAAGTAGGTAAGCACACACGCCTATCTGCATACGGTTGGGCTTGACATCACGAACTAACAATAACTGGCCGCTATACTGCCATTACTGCTCGCTCTGCTCTTAATTAGCTTGCAACCACCTGTGCAATTACCTGGCGAGCCCCATTTACCTTAAAGGTACAAGGGAGAGCGGGTCGGAATGGCTCTTGATTGACGAAGGAGGCCGGCCACTGTTGTCTCTCTCTTCTGGTGTGGGTGATTGGGTCGAGGGTGCTTGGGAAGAAGCAACCGCTGAATTAATTGTAGAAATTAGTATGATGCTGTTTGGAACACAACGACAGAGGTGGGGTTGATAATCCTCTCTTTTATATACCGATCTTTCGCTTGGCTTATTACTACTCTCTCTCTCTCTCTCACACACACACTCTCTCATTCTCTCTCTCTCCTGTCTCTCTCTCTAATTCTTGAAGCCATCAAGACGGCGGGCGGGATGATTAAGAACCTGGAAATGGAATGTCAGTTCCCGCGTGTCTCCGCTAACCTAATACTTGGTTCATCATCTCCCGAAACTTAACTGACAGATCCTCCGGCAAACTTTCACGCCCATCGTGCTCTTTGTGGTTTCTTTAATCTCTTTTCTAATCATCTTCTCATAATTGTTGGAATTAGGTTATAATGTGTAAACTTCAGTGCTGATATTTTAGTACGACCATATGTGAACGCAGACGCCAATTCAGTATTCAGAAACGTGAGTATACAGACTCATCATCCACACAATCATATAAGCACTCACTCATATCATCATACATTTATCGTGTATAAGTGTATGATGTGCGTGCGTGCACAGACACGTACGCACGCACGCACAGACTCTTAATGCACGAAGTTACGCATTTATGTATATGTCTGTGTAAACTAATTGACATGCAGACATTTAATTGCTTAAAAACAATACTTCGCATCTTCCTGCTTCTCATGTCACCTTCTTTTTGTCTAAACTCCATTTTCAATCCAGTCTCCAACCAACTACGAACGTTACAACCCTGTCTCTACCATGCCTATCAACCCGATCTCGGAGTCTTGACTCTTGGAACCATATTTTGTTTACCGTATAACGCAAAGTATCCGTAGCACGAGCGTTGAGTGTAATACAAAGAAAATTCTTAGATACCAGAGACACTTAAATCAGATGTGTAACCATTGGCTGAAAGGAGTAGAACATTAATACGAAGGTTATTAAGGTCTTTGAGAGGGCAATTAGGAGCTCAAAATCTAGATTTATGAAGGAAAATAATCTACAGAGCTCTGATTATATTTGGATTTAAAACAGGATGAAAACAGGATGAGGGAGGGAGGTCTTTTGCAATTACTCATCCACCATCTAAAAATCAGGGAAGCATTATAAAAAAATGCAACATACAGTACCGATACAAGATATTTGTTAATTCAATATTGCCTAGTTAACATAGCTCGTATTTTGTCTAGATTTTAACGAGAAAGTGACGTTGAATTGAAGGATGAATAACCCTCTATAAGCCACCACTACCGTCATGAATAAACTTTGTAACAATTATAGAGAGCGCTCCTTCATGCTATGACATCCATCAATACTTTAGTGCCTGGAAGCATAAGCAATTCAGACCATGTGACCTCGCTTCCCTTCTGGAGCCAACCTTGCGGAGGGAGGAAACGAGTCGAGGAATGGAATTTAAAGAATGAACAAGAAGCCAGAGACGGTAAAGTCGAGAATAAAAATCGACCGAAAAGAATGGAGGACTAAAAGAGAGAGAGAGAGAGAGAGAGAGAGAGAGAGAGAGAGAGAGAGAGAGAGAGAGAGAGAGAGAGAGAGAGAGAGAGAGAGAGAGAGAGAGAGAGAGAGAGAGAGAGAGAGAGAGAGAGCCAGAGAGAGAGAGAGAGAGAGAGAGAGAGGGAGAGAGAGAGAGAGAGAGAGAGAGAGAGAGGGGGGGGGGAGGGGGAGACAGAGAAAGGCCAGGGAGGGGGAGAAGGACTTCAGTTTCGGCAACAGCGGCACCCAGGGTAGACTAATTTTCGCTGGGTTTCGGTCGAGGAGAGACGGTGGGCGACACTTCTATTACCCTCCCATCACCCGTCACACAAGCTCTAGTTAATTTCTGGTGGGAGCGGGGAGGGAGGGAGGGAGGCAGCTTTAAGAGAGACTGGAAGGTGTGAGGGTAGAGAGAGAGAGAGAGAGAGAGAGAGAGAGAGAGAGAGAGAGAGAGAGAGAGAGAGAGAGAGAGAGAGAGAGAGAGAGAGAGAGAGAGAGAGAGAGAGAGAGAGAGAGAGAGAGAGAGAGAGAGAGAGAGAGAGAGAGAGAGAGAGCAGGAGAAAGAGAATTCGTAAAGTTGTAAGGGAAGGAAGGCGAAACCCAGGTCAAAAACACAATAGTTACATGCCAGGTACTTACAACTTCCAGAAACAAAAGCATAAAACAAAACAAAAACATGAATAGCAAAAGAGAATTAAAACAAAAAATACATATTTGAACCAACAATTAAGCCACAATGAAACGAAGAACCACATAAAACAAATCCAAAGATAAAACTGTAACGCCACTAGAGAACAACTCACGAAAATAATTATGAATAAGAAAGTTGGTTAAAACAAATATATAATCAGGAAATGGTAATGTAAGTTGAGGTAATAATAGAGACTAAAGGTAAGAGGAGGGGGCCGAGGGGGCAGTGCTGGCCCAGTGTGAAAGTCAGTGTTGTGGTCGATTGGTGTCTGCGAGCTCCGGCTGCCTCAATTTGCAGTAATTACCTCCCACTTTGGTGCTGTTCTCTGCCTGTCCGTCTTGTGTCCACTACTGCCCCCCTCACCACCCGTGTCCACTACCAGTACTGCTCCCCCCACCACCACCAGTGTCCACTACTGCTGCCCCCCCCCCCCCAACCACCCGTGTCCACTACTGCTGCCCCCCCCCCCACCACCACCCGTGTCCACTACCAGTACTGCTGTCCCCCACCACCCGTGTCCACTACCAGTACTGCTGCCCCTCACCATCCGTGTCCACTACCACTACTGCTGCCCCCCCCCCACCCCCACCACCCGTGTCCACTATCAAACTAGGGAGCAAGAACAGGATCCTCTACATGAAAATCCCAATTTAACTTGTTACTTGCGTCCAACATGAGGGGAAAATGTTCCCATAAGCTCCCTTTATGAACCACAATAATAAATCGTCCCTTCCTTCAACAGGTACAGTCAACTCTAACGGCGAGACCAAGAGACAGAGGACGTCCTACACCAGGTACCAGACCCTCGAACTCGAGAAGGAGTTCCACTTCAACCGCTACCTGACGCGGCGACGGAGGATAGAGATCGCCCATGCCCTCTGCCTCACCGAGCGGCAGATCAAAATATGGTTCCAGAACCGTAGGATGAAGTGGAAGAAGGAACACAAGATGGCGAGCATGAACGCCGGCATGGGCATGCACCCGCAGGCATACCATCAGATGCACCACCAAATGATGCACCCACACCACCTTCACCCCCACCTCGCCGACTTCGAAACGAAAGGCTACTACTAGGTGAGGCGGCTGTTCCTAGTTGGTTTCCATATTATCTGCAGGTTCCTACAGGTAAATCTTCAGGTCCCTACAGGTAAATCTTCAGGTCCCTACAGGTAAATCTTCAGGTCCCTACAGGTAAATCTTCAGGTCACTAAAGGTAAATCTACAGGTCACTACTCATAATCTACGTGACACTATTGATAATCCATAATTTGCACTTCCACAGGTTATTATTACTCAAAATACTCTTGTAATAATCTCAGTATATGGTAACTAGCGCTCCACATATTTTCGTGGCATTTTAATTTCTTTACTCAATATATTTTTTCATGCGTATCCCTCTACGTCTCGTAACTGTACATAAGAGAAGGGACTACCCTTCCATGATGTCCTCGTGTCACACAGAATGAAGGCTATGGTTACCTTGCGATGATTTCGAGGCTCAACGTTGCTGGACTGGTCAACCAGGCTATTATACGAGGCTGCTGTCAGCCTGACGTATGAGTCTCAGTGTGGTTGATCAGGTATCTTTTGGAGGTGTTTATCAAGTTCTCTCTTGATCACTGAGAGGGGTCGGCCAGTTATGCCTCTTCTGTGTAGTGGAAGCGTGTTGAACAGTCTCGTGCCTCTGATGTTGATAGAGTTCTCTCTCAGAGTACCTATTGCACCTCTACTTTTCATATCGGTATTCTGCACATCCTGCCATGCCTCCTGGTCTCATGTGGTGTTATTTCTGTGTGCAAGTTTGGGACCAGCCCCTTTACTATTTTCCACGTGTAAATTATTATGTATCTCTTCCACCTGCGCTCATGGGAATACAGATTTAGGCTCTTTAGTCGGTCCCACTAGTTTAGATGTTTTACTGAGTGGATTCTAGCAGTAAAGGATCACGCTCTATAGGTCAGCAATTTCTCCAGGAATCCGTTTTGTCCTACCTCTTCTTGTCTTGTTCTTTCTAACCTAAACCTTCACTGCACCAGCCACTTCAACGCCTTACGATCTTCTTGAGGTTATCTTGAGATGATTTCGGGGCTGTTTAGTGTCCCCGCGGCCTGGTCCTCGACCAGGCCTCCACCCCCAGGAAGCAGCCCGTGACAGCTGACTAACTCCCAGGTACCTATTTTACTGCTAGGTAACAGGGACATAGGGTGAAAGAAACTCTGCCCATTGTTTCTCGCCGGCGCCTGGGATCGAACCCTGCACCACAGGATCACAAGTCCCGTGTGCTGTCTGCTCGGCCGACCGGCTCCCTGATGCTCTCGCTGATGAACGATGCTCTCAACTTATGTCGAACATTCGCTTTTTTGACAGTCACATTTCCCAGGTATTTATGAGGATCAGAAATTTAAGTTTCAATATAATTAACCTTTGCATCTTAAGCCCTGTGTATCTCCATTAAATCTGATTTAGAACCTTAAAAGCGGAACGTCATCTTTCGTACCTAATAAATGTAAATTCTCACGATTCCGACAATTAAGAAAACTTAAAAAGTTGATAATTCTGAGATTTAAATTTGAACAGGTTAATTAAAGATTTATGCAAATGCTCTTGAGTCTCCGAAAGAACTTAATACGTTTTCATCTGTCGGAAGGTAAGAAAGTTTACATAAATTATGATTCATGCATTGGAGAGTAATCGTGACGAAATACAGCATATTTATGTGTGAAGCTTCCATTAGTTAACATTAATTATTACAAAATAATCCGCACGCAGATTCGTAATGTCAAAAGGCATGAATAATGGTAAAACTGTGTGGAATTAGTGGGGAGGAAACAACTCAACTAGGAAGGAAGGCACTGATTGAATATCAGAGGATAAGAGGAGTATGTCTGCTGAGAGAAGGTATCGAGAAGTAAAGAAAGATGTGACGGAGGTGGGAATGGAAGATGATTCGATATAAGGAGATTAGGAGTGGTTAGTCCAAGATAAAGATAAAAGGGCAATTAGAGGAAACAGCAGAAAGACGGAAGGAGAAAATGCAACGGGAGGATGATGTGAAGACTTGGAATAAACCGTCATTAAGAGGGTGGCAAAACCGTCATTAGGAAGAGAATGGCAAAGCCGTGATTAAGAAGAGGATGGCAAAGCCGTGATTAAGAAGAGGATGGCAAAGCCGTGATTAAGAAGAGGATGGCAAAGCCGTGATTAAGAAGAGGATGGCAAAGCCGTGATTAAGAAGAGGATGGCAAAGCCGTCATTAAGAACAGGATGGCAAAGCCGTCATTGAGAACAGGATGCCAAAGCCGTCATGAAGAACAGGATGGCAAAGCCGTAATTAAGAAGAGGGTGGCAAAACCGTCATAAATAAGAGGGAGTTAGCAGGAAGAATGACTTGCTCTAACAAAATAGTGCAGTGCGTATCACTGTGTTGATTGCCACTGCATGGCAATTATGGATTAAAACTTTGTATATTTCCTAACAGATTATAAGGGGCTCCCTCTCCGGGTCGCAACGGTACCCAAAATTAGACCATTATACCCAGTAACCATGATTACAGGCTATTCATGCCCATGCCACCTCTTGGGTGGCTTCAATCAATCAGTAACCATGATGGCCTGATAACACTGAAGAGGTAAAAGTATGTGGGGGGATCCCTCTTTGGGTGAAATAAGCAGACCAGCTCCTTAACTCCTTGATACAAACTCGCTCCACCAAAGGTCACTAAATTTTTTCCATTTAAAATACATCAATTAAATCGCCAAGTAAAATCCCATGCTCATATTGTGCATTCATGTTGCACATTGAAAGTCATTATAACTTCATCACAGTGCTATTCACTACGTTGCAATTACATTTTTTGTGTATGTTCCATGCAGTTTCGTTCTGTTCCATCCGATTTATTCACAAATACATACTGTTACGCTGTTTTTCACCTCAATTCTTTAGAATTTCATCACATTTCGTTTAGTTTCGCCTTTTTCTTTACAATTCTATTTTATGTCGTTGAGTTCCACTTTATTTATTTACAATTCTACCTTATTTCATTCAGTTCCATCCTATTTCGTTCAGTTCTATCTTAAAGGCAGAAAATCAAGTCATACTCTAAATAGGTCAGATAGGATACCGATATTTATTTCTAGAAGCGTTAGAAGTACAACACCTAATGTTATTCTTTAGCTATATTTTGATATTATTCAGTAACATTTAGATTATGCAGTGTTAGTTGGAGGGACATAATCCCTCAAATTAGAAACAATCCACGTGAAGAAAGAGCCAAATGCTTAATTGACACGTTATGTGACAAGGTGTTTTAATCGTATGTTACACATTTTTACACATAAAAATTAGGGAAACTGTAGACGACCTTTTGCCCTATAACCGACCTGTAACCCGACCTATATATATATATATATAATATGACACGTATGGGGCAATAGGTCGTCTACAGTTTCCCTAATTTTTATATTTGTATTATATTTTGAAAAGAAGATCAAGGATGCAATGCAAAAGGGAAGTTATCGAATGCGGATAAGGCTGCATATGAAACAAGGAAAAACGGAGGAGGAATGCGAGGGAATAGAATAATTAGAAACATCATAGAATAACGTTCAGACTCGAGAAACAAAAATGCCGATAAGAAATCGAGAAAGAAGGCAGGAAAGAGATGAAGGAGGGAAAGATAGAAGAGACCGATGCCGAGAAGAAAGCAGGGAGTAAAATGGAATAGCTAAAAAGAGTGTGTGTGTGTGTGTAGAGGAAGAGGTGCTCGAGACAGAGGCGAGTGAAGTCTAACCGCAGTCCGTCTACCTGTCACACCTGGACACTTGGAGAAAAATTAGTGATTTCCTGGCCTCAGCTGGTCAACCCACGGCGCTGGGCTGGTTATCGCACCTCTACATTCCTGTTTATGTTGACACCTTTCTGGATGTATCAAGCTATAGATAGATTAGATTTCAAAGCTCTATTCGTAGGTCATAAAATTACAGTTGTGGGTGGAGTGAACAGGTGTATAGCTCTATGTAAGAAATGTAGCTGACAATTAAATCAATGAAACTTTTGTTTTGCAAAACATTTTATATATTCATAAAATTCATAAAATCTGAATTATGAAAATATATTTTTGAGGATAAATAAGTATAAACATTATATATATACATATATATATATATATATATATATATATATATATATATATATATATATATATATATATATATATATATATATATATATATATAATAAATTCGTAGTTCTCTCTAATTAGCCCCCAAAAATAAAAATGCATTTAAACTTCAACATATTATTATAACATTTTCAGTAAAATTGCGAAAAGAATTTGATACTAAGATTGCTGTCCTGTGAAACACATTTCTTTGATTATTTTACGTGAAAACGCGATCAACACTCATGATGTCGGCTGACAGACACATATTTACCAATCAGTCACTGCTTTCTTTTATCATACTTTGTAGAAGGGATTACCTAATCATATAATTATCTCTTTGTAAACGGCCATTAAAATCAAGGATGCAATTTTTCATAATTAACACAAATTTATTGAGATTTGTCGTGCCATTTCCTGTAAATGTTCGGGGTTATAATGGAGAATTTCCTTGTCTCGTTAAAAAAATACTATTAGCATTTACAACCTCAAGTGATTGATGCCTAATGGCATTTAGCAGTCAGATAATTACTTCGTAATCTGTCATTTCCTATAGCAATCAATTATCATCGTTTGCGGCTTCCTTGCTCAGGAGAGGTCGCTATATTTGAACATTCTTATTGTAGGATTAATTAAATAAAATATCAATTTCCTAGCTATTTAATCATAAAATTAAATGTTATTGAAAGAAATATATATATATGTTGACCTGTTGTATTTAATTCTGATAGCTGAAGAAAATATATATCCGTGTTTCACTTCTTAAGTGGACTAAGACGTATCTAATTTAGAATTTTATAAATGATGGCCAGGCCGGGCTCGGGGAGTAGAAGAACTCCCGAAGCCATCTCAAGGTATACTCCCTTTATTATAAGGATTAACTTTATAAACAGTGAGTTAGTTTTTATTTAGATGC